ACCACCGTTAGGGAACAAGAAATCTCGTTCGCGAGGAATCTGAAACGACCTCATTCCGATTCTAATCCAAAGCAACGATAAACAACGATAAGCAACGATAAAACGGACGAGAGACGTTTGAAAGCATTCGTCGTTTTTTCGCCGAAATTGGGCCACGTTCGTTCATATTTTCTACGATATTATATTAGCGATCCTCGCGCGTAACGTTTTGCAATCGCGAGCACGAGTGCTATTTCTACGCGAAGGATGTAGAAACGTGCTTTAATAATCTTGATAGAAATTTCTGGCGTGGAATTCGCCGCGTTGATAACGCGCGAACCGGTAAGAGTTCGTAGGAGGAGATCAGAATTTTTAATGAACGATGATCAACCGGATCCGGCAAGTTGTGACACCCACTCGAGCTCTTATTCTTTATTTCTTCTCCGTCTTTAAAATCTTTTATACGAGTCGATTCACGTCCGATCGATCGTGATGATTTCGTTAAACGATTTAACACGAGGCAATTTATTAAGGTAAATAATTATACGCGCTTGAAATAGAGTTCGGGGAAAAAAGAGAAGTTGCGTAATTGCGGTTCATCCACATGCGGATCGTCCCACATGCAACGGAACCCCGACACGGTATATATTAATATAATTCATAATCTTGTTTAAATGGGATGTCACGAAACCGTGTTTCCAGGTTACTGAAAATCTCACCCGAAATTCTGTGTTATTAATTCTGTGGTTCAACGACCTGGTCGCGTACTATATTTTTCAATGCATCGTTTATTCGACGTGCCATTAATCGTTTCATCTTAACGAACGATGGTTGTTGAGGTATAAATACATGGACTGGTTTAGAATCTATTTAATCTCATTAAGATACGTGTATGTAGTACGCTCATATAATTGCAAGGGATGAACAACGACGTAGGGAGGGTTACTGGAAGGTTCGTATAAACATGACCTGATTAATTTTTCTGCAGTATCCATTTTTATTATAAGATACACCTTTGAATAAAGAAACCAATAATAAATAATCAACTTTACTCTCTCGATTTCATTCCCTAAAGTAGGTCAGAGTAACAATAAAACAGAATGCAAAGTGAATGACCTCCGACAAGAATCTCGAGAAAATTAATCAACTCCTGAAGGCAACGAAGATGTACACGTCCAGAGAAAAGAAAATTTTGGATTTCTCGTATATATTTTATACCGCTTTATTTTATCGATCGTTGATCGACACAACGATGTTCGTTCTGTATTAAATAAATCAATTGATCGTTTCACAATATTAGATAATATTACAGTGATCGATGAAACCACTAAAAACTTCACGGATTTTTTTTTTTCTCGTAAAGGAAGGAAACCGGTTTAGTTAGATCTATGATATCGTACGATTCAACTCGTAATCCATCATCGAGAATAACGCGTTTCACATACGTTCCTCTCCGCTTCGGTATGTTAATATGATTCATAAATGGTTTAAATAGGATGTCGCAAAGTGGGGTCAAACACGACGACCCTTAAGTGGCTAGATCTTTCTCTCAATGCACTTTGGGTCACACGCGATCGGTCAACGATTGTACGTATTTAATGAATTTTTAGGGATCGTGGTCAATCGTTAATCATCTTTCGAACGCAATTGAAATCGTGATTTGATATTTTTATAGAAGAAAACTGGAAAAAATATGAAATATTTCCAAGAAAATATTTTACAAGAATAATTAATACCATTATTTAACATCATTCTTGTGTCGAAAAGTTACTTTCTTGTTCTAGATTCTAGTATTTTTTCAATTTTTACTACAACTGCGAGTAGACAAAGATTCCAGCGTTTGAACGTTATCAAAGACCAGGCTTTTAATAGCTCATTCTCCGCTTATCGGTATTTTTGCACGCCCTATCTAATCGCATCAATAATATAACAAAAAAAAAAAAACGCTATTAAATCGTTCGTTACGATTCGATGAGAATTCAGGCCAATATTATCATTACTAGTCGATTAATATTCGATTTCAAAACTATAGCTATTTAGTAAAATTTAATATAATCTTTATAAAAAAAAAAAAAAAAAAAAAGACGAAAGAAAATAGATCGATACCACGTTAATTAAAAAGATGCATTGCGAAGAAAATATGGTAATCATTCGTTGCTTATGCAACAGGATGTAATGAGTCTTTTGTGTGCAATTAACCGCATCATAGCTATGTGTTACAACTATTTAATAATGTATCGAACATCATTGAATGGTAGCCCACGAGAAACGAATGCACGAAGAATTGAATTACAAAGTGGCCTGCATACCGCTTAACTTTCATCGAGGCGTTGTCGAATGATTAGTGAAACGATATCGTGATAATTATAAACCGTTATGCAGAGAAGTCACGTGATCTTATACATATATCTCTCATATTTCTCATATTTCTTTGATTTCCATTAATTTTCAATAAAAAAAAAAAAAAAGAAAAGAAAAAAGAAAAAATATTACGATAGATATCAAACGATGTTTCTCTCGTAAGAAACAATCGAATATCACGATGATGAATTACGAAACTATGATGGAATACGAAAATTATCTTAACGAGAATATTCTATAAAGTGACACAAAAGTAAAGAAAGAAAAAATTGAAACAAAAAATTAAAGAATTTTGAAAATAAAAACGATATAGAAATTTATGATTTCATCTCTGCATCATTCTATTTAAGGAACAAGAAAGTTCTTTCTCCTTTCTCGAAGTTTTCATTGGTGATCGTTCTCTGCTTAAAGATGCATCGATCGTGTCTGAACGGTCACGTTCTTTTTGCTGGTCACGTCACGAACATCGGAGGGAGAAAATCGTGACGAGTCGTTGGAGGAAATGGCGGAAAGAAAGGGATCGTATCGATGAACTTTTCGCGTGTCAGTGAGCAAACTCAAAGAAAAATATCTCAAAGATTAGACAATCGACCGTTATCTAATAATTCTTTCTTTTTTCAAGATCTGCTACTTGTCGTTCTAATCTCTTTATCTAATTGTCTGTTCGATATCGCACTTTTATCCTATTGTTCCTTGAAATTTAAACTCGTTTAAAATAAAATTAAAATTTTGCCTATGTTATCTAAGAATCATGTATGATATCACGCAGTCATTGAGCATTACATTTTCGCAGTTCGCTACAATTACTTTCGTCTATCGTGAGTGATTAATTAACGCGGATGACGTTACACGAAATTCAAGGTCTCCGATAGACACTCGAAACGAAATCATAAGACCTAAATCGTTAAGTCATTGTTCTCGAAAATTTTCTAGAAATATAGTTTCTTACGTTAACGTATCTATAATATTTTTGTTGGAAAATTTAAAAAAAAAAACATTATATTCTAAATCTACGAATCTTATTATTAACCTTTTTATCGAAAAAAAAATTTCTAGAAGAAATTCCAGGTAGAATTGAACGACAACAATCGCAATATCACGAAAAAAAAAAATAATTACTCGAAGCATCCATCATTCACGACTTCAAACTCGTTTATTTTATTCCAAACATTTCATTTCCTTCCTTAAAATATTATCCGGCACAATTTCCACCCTAGATTGTCTCGAGCAGCAGTTTACCCGACTCGAAAAGAACTCCTTACCCCTTTTCAACTGTTTCTGCTTGAGTTCCTGGTCCCTCTTGACCCCGTTACTTTCACTCGCAATAAAATTTTCGCTCGTCTTCGACTTCATTATACCGGTTGGTTGTGACGATTGCGTAACACTCGCAGTAACGCCACAACGAGAACTACACCTTTCTTTTTTTTCTTTCTTTCCGTATAGACCACGATAAGATAATCGATATGTATCACGATTGGGAATGTTTTTATCGGCTAATTTATCGTTCGATACGATATTTTACGAGAATAAAAACTATAACGATAGAGATCAAAAATAAAATTCTTCTATTAAAAATAAGAATTTACGATTTTAACACACCTCGCGACACGTTGAAATATTCACACGAATGCTCGCGGCGATAAATACATGCGATCACGAGTTCGAGACGCCCGTAAATACGATATAAACAGCACGAGCGCCGATCGCCGACTGACGATGAGCGGCGAACGATCGAGACCGGAGGCGCTGAGGATTCGTGCGTCGAGTTCCGATTGTCAACCACGATTGACATTTACTTTTCACGGCCGTTCCTATACGTTATGATTGCACGCATGCATCACGAATAATCACGATCCATACCGAAAATATAATATAATACCTGTATGTATCGATCGCGTCGATCTTACCGATTAATTTGTCCCGCTGTAAATGGTGGCCTTTGTCTCTTCATAAATCGATCGAATTATATAACTTGATATAGTTCGATAATTTTCTTTTCCGTGAACGTAGAATAAAGATGATACTTTACAAGTTAATTTATAAAATAAATCTCAATGTTAATCCTTGCTACGTTAAATATTTAGTTAAAAAACGTTTAACATTATAAAATTATATATTATAATTAAAATTCGCAGAAATAATAGAATGACGCGTGTACTTTTAATTAGAAATTGTTTTTAATGGAAGGTTTATTAATGGAACGTGAGCTGTTTCCAATCAGTATGCAGCTATATTTAATCTCCCGATATCTCAAGGGTTATTTAGAAATAGTAGTACCTTGAACCATATTTCTATTCTTTTATTCCCTTTTTTTCTTTAAATATCTCGCGATAACTTTTTTTTTTTAACTGTTCAATAATTATCTTATTTAAGGGATAAGCCTGATATCGGGTATATTTTACAACGATGCTGTGATTAATTCTTAAAAAGGGTGCGCCTAATCGTTTTTTCGACCGTCTACATGCGAAGGTCATCGCGATATACGATCGTAAAGTAATCAAGGTTGGTGAAGAAATCAACGTGCTAGCAACGATAATAACGCATCGTTATCAATTAATTAACAATGGAAAACAACACGGTGAAGTCTTGCTTTACAGTTCTCATTCACGTTTCTTAGTATTGTTTGCACGATCGAGTCACGTACGGTAACAACAAAATTCCGCAACGAAGAAGAAGAAACAGTATCGTTAGGTCGAGGACTATCAAATGAACACGTAAAAGAGTTTGCATAAATTTCTGTTTACCTTCCTCGATAAGGAACGAGTAGAAACTTATATTACGTGCAATTTTAATCAGTTTGTATGCACAAATTACGAAATTCGAATTATATTGAATTTACCGATTTTTTTGAATCATTAAGATTAACCAAATTCTGGAGTAATTGGATCATTTCAATAGGATTTAAATTTTCATTGAATGAAAATTTATGATCAAATTCAATTTTTTTTTGTCTGAAAAAAAAGGGAATCAAGGATGAAAACAAGATCGAAATAATTAATCATAGTTCGTACACAATACGAGTATGTTTTATCTCGAAATCAATTACGCGATAGTGTTATTATGTTACCAGTATGTGCATCGAAAAGGAATTCTATACGACTTATCTGCTTTCAAATAGTGCTGGTATTTGTTACAGGTATATAGATTATGCGAATATCTTGGACTAAGACATTATTTATACAACGGTATTTGAAAAAAAATATTTTAAAGTGATATAAATCATCCCCGAAATAAATTATAATAGTAAATGATTTTTTTAGATCTTTGTATCGATATCATCAAACGTTTTAATAGAAATAAATTACGAATGAAAAAAATTAAAAAATTTCTTGCAAACTATGAGACAGTTTATGATAAATTATATTTGTTGAATACGTGTTGAATACATTCGCCGCACATGCCACATATGTACAGACATCTATAGGATGATAAAAATAGAAATGCGACAAAGATCCTCCATTTGCAGCATACAGTCAATTCATTTTGAATTTTTCTGATTTTTAAACCGATATTACAAGCTTCGAACTCTTCGGAGGAACTATACGTGCATGTGCGTTAAAGAAGAATGGAAAATCATGTGATTGCATACCACGAATTTTAAACTATTTTTACAATATTTTTTATTATATTGTCTCTTTTGTACCTTAAATAAATAAAGTGTAAAATCTATTATATCTATTTAAGTAAATTTATATCTATCCTTTTTTTTTTTAAAGAAAAATATTTTATATTTATATTACAATTTTGATAAGAGAGAAAAAAAGGGGGAAAATATATATATATATATATAAAAATAATAAAGCTCGTGGAAAGATTCGCTGAGGCATGATAGACCAGCACGCGGATCAGGAATGCGTGACGGCTAGTATCGTGCAACGAATCGAAGAAACGCGAAACGAGAGAGAAAAATAAGACAGCAACGCTTGATGCGCGTCGAGTGTCAATACCTGCGTGACTGAGTCACGTAGCGGCTTTTTAAGTTTGCTTTCTTGCCTCGTGTCTGTTATCGCAAGACCGCGGTTTAGACGATCAACCGGATCCTTTTTCGTAACTGGTATTCCTTCAAACAGTCGTAACTTTGATCGCCATTATCATGCGAATATCTCTCCTTAGAACGACGAAACTTCTACTTATTATCGGTAAGGATTATCCCGTATACTGGATATACTTTTAACAGATTGAACACATGCGAAGATTGTATAAAATTTTATAAGACGTCAATCCGTTTAAGTCACCGGAGGTGTCCAGTGACCGCAATTCTTCCTGCGTTCCCATTTTGTCGCGCACTTGTTTCCACGATAAGATAATTAAATAGGCTCGCGTAATTTTTTTCTTTTTTTCTACTTTTATTTCATGAATTCGATATGCATTAAGAAAAACATGCGAGAAAATAAAATGATCAAAATGATCAATAAAAATTAAATCTGAAACCTTGAGAATTTTTTAAATTACAATATGTAATTGTAATCATAGTACGAAATCGATTATATGAGATTGTGAAAACAGAAGAACAGGAATAATAAATTACTTATTGTTAGTAAAATTATAGTATATAGAGTAGCATTCCATAAAAAATGCAAAAATTTTCAAGTTAATATTTTAATTAAGAATCATAAATGCAAGTAAGAATGCAAGATTGTTTCGATACAACTTTCATTTTTTCTTCTTTCAACGTACTACTTTCTCTTGCTCTTTAAACGATTGTATATCAACTGTATATCCTGACATTTAGCATCGATTTTCGTATTAGAGATTTTAGTAACTTGTAACGATTATTAACGTTGCTTCAACAAAAAGGAAATACATTTGAAGAATTTAATACAACATACATATATTAATATCTTGAGATTTTCGAAGAAAAAATTTGTGCATTTTTTTTCTACCAATGGAATTTTCTACCAGCAGAAAAACGAGACAATATTCAAATGTAATCGTATCTGCTTATAGGATAATAAACAATATTTCGTCGCATTTCACAGGTTATATAACCATGGAGTTACGTTACATTCACTTCAGTGACTTCCTCGAAGGACCTCCTACCAATAACCCGAATACGGCAGGTAAAATATCGATTCGCATATATTCGAGAGAAAGGATTGAGAATTCGATGAGACTAATGTCCTTTGACCGGGATAAAGATTCTTTCTATTTTTGACTTTTTGCCAGAAACTGGTCAACTGTCACCTGCTACATTTAATAAAGTTGAATACTGAATTACTTGGAAAAATTAATTTGAAGATTGTACAACGATCATTTATCAAGTTTTAATTTTGGAAAGTAATGTTTGAAAATATATTAAAAAATACTATACCTTACATTGAATTGAATTGAAATATGATTTAATGATTGCATATAATTTTGTCTTTTCATCAAAATTCTTAATTTTCAAATGAATTTAATTCTTAAATAATAGTTAATGAATTATTTGACTTTTTCTCATATTTTATATGAATCGATACAATTGAAACACCCTATAAATACTATATTTCCTTGAACGCATATAATATATATAACTCACGTAACCGCAGAGGTCTCCCTCCTATCTCTTTCTCGAGATAGAAACATTGTTGCAGTCGGATTATTTTCAAAGCAAACGTCGGAACAGAACTCTTGTGAAAAAAAACCGATTCGTTCCACAATTTCAATTTAATTTGAATGCGTGAAATCACTTCCTTCTCGATTATTAATGGTTCATTACAGCTTCGCGATAAGATTCGAGCAATTGCATGATTCCACGTGCCATGAATTTACTGCAGTCAGATTTTTACTGATCGTTTATGCAAACTTCTATTGGTAAATGAAAAACGCAGGTCATAAAAACGCGCGCGTCCATGCCAATTTCGATGCATTTCATTCGATGGGATTGTCCCTTCCGGTTCTAGCGCAGCGTGAATCGAACACAAGGGGGGCAAGTATCGATCTGCAGCGGTTGCAGTTTCACTGAAAGCCGGCAACGGAGTTAACGACACTCTCCGAGGGTAGGACCCTTGTACCAAATGTATGTCAATATACAAGGGACGCAAAAGAAAAAAAAATCAATACCATTCGTCGATTGGTATATTATTTAAAACTCCTATTTATAATTCGGATGGAATACGCGCTAAATGAGGGTGCGAAAGATAACGTACATCGATTCCATACGAAAATAATTCCATATAAAACAGGTTATCGATTTTAAACGATTATTAAACTTCGAAATGTAGATTATTTATAATTATTTTATAATAAATTAGCTGTATAATTACATCGAAATATATATAAATGTGCTAAGTATGCGACAAAATTTAAGTATATATATATATATATATATTAATAATCATCGGTGTTTCCTGTAGAGATAATATCATATTCGAGGGAAGTCAATATTTAAAGGCAATAGACATGTATGGCGCCGTGCTATAGTTTAGAAAAAGCAGGACGATTCATTAAGCGTGTCACCGTATTTGCGTTTGTCCCATATATAGAAACTAATCTTGAATTTGTGTTTGAGAAATGATAAGCACGAATCGTTAATATATTTACATTGAATAGAATGAAATTGTATATTTAAATGTGTTAAAAAAAAAAATGAAATAATATGGAACGAAATTTGGATAGCGAAAAAAGAATAAAATGATAGCCTTTGTCACAGAATGGACACTGTAGTTCGTGAAACTCGCGTTGCAGTATATATTGTATATCTCGCTACTTCTCTCAGCACTGCATAGGTATTGAAGCGCATACACGACACATCGTGCGAGGTACGGTTGCGTGGGTAGAACGCATAATTGCACGAGCGTCCTCAGATACCGTCTTGAAATCGGTGCTACGCACGGACCACGCAACGAAGAGAATTCCACTTGAGTCGATATTTCAAACAATCGAGGAAAGGAATGCTTTTATGCTATGAAAAATGAATTTGTACGCATTATGTACTTATTATCTTACATTTATGGGAATGGTTTATAGAATTAAAAAAATTTCATGTGAACTAACGATAATATAGATTGTTTTCTCTAAATAATTTTATGAGAAAACTCTCATATATATTTGATGGTAAAACATCCGGGAATGCAAGAATTAACATTTCTATCTTAAACGCGTGGAATTACGCAACAATTATAACACGTTGAAAAGCCTGAATAAGACACGATACTTTGTTTCCTATTTCTGTTAAATCAATGAAGTTCGTAACAATGTGAGAAAAAAAAAGAAAAAATTAACTTTTTCATAAACTATTCTAAAGATGATGCCACTAGTAGCTTCAGCTGAAGATCGAATATGAGCCAGCACTGTTTGAGAATGCAGGTCATTCTCAAATAGCGCGAAAACAAAATGAACAGGAAAAACATTGGTGGAGGTTTATACGTCGAGAGCTTACCCTAGGAAACGTCAAACCGATGGATCTACCTATTTATAGCCCCCCGAGTGAGTTTAACGATACGATCCTTTCGGAAAACATTCGGTATGCTCATCACGAGGAAAAGACCATGAAAATTGAACAGAAACCGCATGATACAGGGGCGTACCCCGAACACGTTTTTCAACTCTTTGGCAACAGTAAACGAGCCACACACACATACATATACATTCGCCTCAAATAGAGAAGTTGCGGAGAGAGAGAAAAGCTAGCCGGCATTTAGTACTTGGTTTCCGCCTTTTACTTACCCATCTTTGCGACTGGCACGAGATATAATACTTCTAACGGCAGTTAGTCGCAGTCAATGAGTTACACGATCATATTATACCATTGGTCACAAATAGAAACAGCACGAAATTTCACTTAGGAAATCACGGAAAACGCAAGAGACCGTCTTACCACCGAACGCTCGACGTCCGACATTGTAGTGGCGAGCAAGCGTGACAATGCGCAAGCGCATCTGTTCTCTCATTACCGTATCTAAGATTCCAATCACCTAGTATTTCATGTAAGAAAAATTTCAAAAAAATTTTTTAATGTTTCATATAATGATTAAATTAAATAATCGTCTCTTTATCAATACCTACCTAATGTGTTTTAAAAGTTAGTAATAGACTAAATGAATAAATATAAAAAGATAGTATATAGCATAGTATACTAAAATCTTACATATGTAAGCAAAATGGCGCCAAACAAAAGAAATAAAAATAATATTTTTAAGTATCACTTCAGAGGAACAATGGGAAATATTGTGCTTTCAGTATGAATGAAATTTCGAAATTATGATTTATCATTTCAATTATTTCAATGGTTTATATAAATATAATCGAATATGAAATGTATATGTTACAAGATATATTATGTTAAATATATGTATATGTTAAATATTTTTTATTTATTTTTTAATTTTATAATGAATTTTAATTTTAATTTTAATCATTATTAATGTTGCAATCTTATTCTGAGACAAATCGAACAATATAATGTCATATTTTTCAAAATAAAGCGATTTGTCAATGAATGCAGAAATAGAATCATTTCTTACAAAATTTCGATTAATTTCAATAAATTTTAATAATTTAACATGTCAAATATTTAATATATTGTCACAATTTACATTATAATATTCGAATTATATTGTAATTTATTTTTAAAAATAAATAATATTACTTGAAAATAAATAAATTATAAATATAATGAATATTATTTACATTCTTTCAAAAATAATGTGAAGATTTAGATTGAATTTCAAACAAATTTAACTTGAAAAATATA